TCAAGGGAAGCCATGATACATAAAGCATGGAAAATAGATAAGTAATGTTCAAGAAAAGTGTTTAAACCATCTATACGCTCAATCCATCTAGTTCTACAGATATCTTTTAATTTTTTTTTTATGCGTTTGAGGTTCTCGTTCTAAAATGCTAGCTTCTAAAAACTTTTGTCTATTTTCTGAATAATTAAAAAAATAAGAAAGTTCTCGAACTTTATTAAAAACTTCTGAAATTAATTGGACATTAGACAATTTAATTTAATGGGTGTAAGTGGTGAGATCTCTTGGTTAAAAAATATTTTATACTTTTCAACACCAAAATTTGGGTAACAGGAAACAATATTACAAGAAAGAACCAATGATAAACCTAACAAACATAAAAAAACCAGCCCATTTCTCTCTGCTCTCAAAGTTTGCAATTGCTTCAGCTTTAATAATATTATTATTTTCGAAGCCAGAATCTAATGCAGAATGAAATACTGACATACACAACAAACTTTTGAGATTAATAAAATGAGAACTATAATCAGAAAATGTTTTTGAAATTAAAGAATGCCTAGAGTAATAATCAGCATGTATATAAATTTCAAGGGATGTTAAAACTCTTAACACATCCATCAGTGTATTGTCAGCAACAAAAAACAATGATGACGAGCTGTACATACAACTTCCAGATGCTACAGACCTTAAGAAAAAAAGTATATATTTACTTCATGTTTTTAAGAGCTAAACTTCTTTTATCGATAAAATTAAAATTGAGTAAAAAATCTTTGCTTTTTAAACAAATTCATAAATCAAATCAATAGTCAAGAACTCAGACAAACCAACAAACGATTTTGACATATAGGAGTTTAATACATACATCATGAACATATTATATTCATACATGTCAAAATCACTTGACGGTGTTGACACATTAAATATTGATTAGTCAACGAGATTTTTTTATAGATTAGATTAATGCGGTATTAACAATAAATATTTTTACAAAAAAGTATTAAATTTTGTAATAAAATACAATAAGATAATTATTTATGAAAAAAAAGTAAATTGACTTACCTTAGAGCAATACAATGCATTTTATTGTCTTTTAAGTAAGAAGGGATACAAACTTCGGCACATATATTTCTTTTTATTGTGCCATCAATAAAACGGCTTAAAAGACCTTCGTTACTAACCATTTTGCTATTGTTGTAAATAAATGTATCCAATAAAGTTTCATAAAAAGTATTTAAATCGACAAGATTATCGGTTTTAAATCTTTTAAGAACATTATCAATCAAGTTGTAAGCCATCCTTATGCGTTAAAATTTTAAGGAAATACTTTGTTTTTAAAACGGAGTTCTTTGAGTTCCTTGAGTTCTTTTGAATTGTTTATCGATCTTTGCAACCAATCAAATTACTGCTGCAAAGGATAGTTTACACTAAACATGGATTTTTTTTAAACGAATCAAATTGCTACTTTTAATAGCGTAAACCAATGAACTTATCCAATTTTCTCATATCCTGCAAAGTAGAGTTTACATTAGCAAGTTTTATAAAATAATTTTCTCATATCCTGCAAAGTATAGTTTACATTAGCAAGTTTTATAAATAATTTTCTAATACCCTGCAAAGTATAGTTTACATTAGCAATTTTTATAAAACACTTTTTCAAACGTTTGCAAAGCATAGTTTTCACTGTAAACTTTTTCTAATTATATTTTCTAATATAAATATATAGATCGGCAATTAACTTTAGTCGGGCGTTAGACGTCATAATACTTATATTTATTTTTGTTTTTTTACCCTCTCACTCGCAGCACTTGACGGGGTTTAAGTCCGCCCCTGTATATATATATATATATATATATATATATATATATATATATATATATATATATATATATATATATATATATATATATATATATATATATATTCAAAACGTATGTATGTTAGGCCCATGTAAATTGGCCTAACATAGAATCTTTTATATATTTACTTCTTGTTTTTATTATATTCAATTCATATTTTAATACAATCGATTCGTGAACTGAGTCACGAATTTTAAAAGTTTTTTCCTTTTCTAACTATTTATAACTATATTTATATTATATTATATTATAATTGGTAAAATACCTTATAGTATTTTTTTAGTATTTAAATGAGCAAAGTTTGATCAAATCGAGGGGGCTGTTAATTTTATATGGTCATAACTTTTAGGCACTATAATACAATTAAATTAAATTGAAAAACTGAAGGTATATTTATCATTCATTGTCATCGTGTTTTGGCAGAGGCAGTTAGCTTGTTGGGGAATTTTTGTTCACAATTCATGAAATTTTTTGCAAAACATTTAGATTTGACCTAAGCATGACCATAGTTAAGTTTAGTTCAAAAAATACTTTTTTAAAATGTTTTTTGAAATTTCTAAGACAACTACATGTATATATATGTCCAGGACATGACGTTAAATTAGTTTTTTGGGGTGGTAAGTCTTTTTAGGCCTTAAATTAGAGCACACACTGTTTTTGTCACGATTTTTTTATAAAAACATTAAATTCAAAATAAACTAAATCGAAAACTAAAATGCTTTTATTTTTATTTTTTCAATATTATAAGTAAAATCTATAAGCATTATGAAAATTCAAAAAAAGATCTAAACATATTGATTTAGATATTAAAAAATAAAAAATAATGAAACATTTTATTTTAATTAAAAAAAAAATTGGACAAAAGTTAAGTATATATTTCAAATAATATATTAAAACAATAATTTACAAAAGAAAAAGCATTTCAATATTTTACACTGCCATTACCTTGCTTAGTTGGCTTTCATGTACGATTCAAATCAAATTACTCTTGAGGTGATCGCCATAGCAGAACACGAAGCAATAACATATTCTTGCATATCTACCTCAACATTCATTTTGTCTGAGAATATAACATTTCACCACTTCTGTCATGTTTCTCAATGTGTTGTCCACCAGATTATCCAGATTCATAATGTCATCTGTTTCAATATAAGGTTTTCAAATATGTGCAATAACTGAATATCCAATATTAAACTTATTGGCTATTTGACAAGGAGATAGTACTTGGTTTTAAATAAAAATAGAATTGTAACATTTTTTTTCAGAGAATCTCAACCATGATTTTGGAGTTTCATGCTGTTTTACTTATTTGTCATGCTGTTTTACTTATTTGTTATGAGACTTTTTTAATATCTAATTTATTTGTGTTTTCATCAGTACTATTTCAAAATTAGAAGTTTAGAGTTAATAAATGCTAATGAAAATCAAATTAAATTATAAAAAAAAATCAATGATATGATGAGAATAAATTCTAATAATATTGTTTTATTACACTTTTATACACATTTTCATCAGAATTGGTATTAAGTTTCTTTGCATTTTGTATTGTTTGTAGTTTATTATGTATTCCCAAGGTTCTCGATAAAAAGACTTCTCATAGCCTTATACGAGTTTCTCTACAACTAACTAATATTATTATAATTTATTAATATATATTTTCAACGATAACTACAAGTAAGTCCCTAGCAGCTCTGTGGTGCGACAGACTTGCGTATATTTTTAACTGCATTGGTTAATAGCCAGCACTTTATAGTATAAACCACGAATTTTAAATTACTACTGCCAAATTAAAAATTTTAATCTACTGCCAAAGCGCATGGGCATAACAACAATCTTTACTTTAGGTATTGTAAGTGTACATATGTATAAAGTATATATATATATATATATATATATATATATATATATATATATATATATATATATATATATATATATATATATATATATATATATATATATATAAAATGTATGATTAGTATTTAAAATGTATATTTCAAAAACAATAATAAAATGATTACAAAAAGATTTAAAAATATATACCAAACATGCTAATCTTATCACTCTGAATCTTATAAAATTAAAGCTAAACTTTGTATAAAGTTTGTTTTGATTGTCAGATTGATTTGAATGATTAGCACAGCATTGTTTTAAAAATTTCCATTCTCTGTCGGAGAATGGAAATTTTTATGAAAAAATGTATTATTCGTGAAGAGCAAACAAAACCTTTGTTTATAAAAATTTAAAGCTCAATAAGAAGAATTATTTAGTTATATCCGTTAATAAAACAACGAAACAGCGCAATTGCCCTCAAAATTTGATAGATGTCATCTTCGTGACATCAAACAAAACCGTATTTTATGAATTGATTTTTCATTGATTATTATTGAATACATAGCTATTATCTTTGATAAAAAAAAAATTAATACGCGTAAAGTGTTTTTGTGTTATAAAATGTAATGGTTATAATTGAAAGTCTAGAATGTTAATCAGTGTCTACTTGAACTATCTATGCATTTAGCCAGCTAGACTTGGTGTTTTCGATGCATATTCAATATTTATGTTTAGCAATTGTATATTTGAAAAATTATGATGAGAAGAGAACGTACGAAGTCATTTGATTTTAAAAAAACACATTTTCTAATGCATTGGAAAAATATATATTTACCTACGTATATAGGTCGCGTCTCAAAAGCACATTTCAATTACACGATCACGAATTTAATAAACTTTTCAAATGTAGGATTACAAAACGTTAATAATATTGAAATGCGTAGTAACGTAACGACTAATAAAAAAATAATTCGGCTCGTTTTGATCAAAAATGAAATCGATTTATAACATGAGATATCTTCTCGAGCTTTAGTCTCGAAAAGACCGTAAGCTTAACATTGCCCCGCTTATCGAAAAACTTTGATTTAATTTAATAAATTCAAATATTATTTCCACAACATATAATATACGCTATACACTCAAGTGATAACACGAAAAAACCCAAATTTTCATGGTTAATAACCTTTTGGGGATGACAAAGGATTAAAGAGGTCAATAGCTTCGCTGTCAATAAAATTATTGAATATTACATTATAAATGTTTAAAAACTTGTAAAAAAAACATCACATTCCGATTAAAATAAAACACAAAGCATTGCATATTTTATTTTATTTTCAAAATATGACAAGGAAAATTGCATACTGGATCTAATTTTGAAACTAAATACGAAGTAAAATGGTCATGTATTAAAAAAAATATATATCAAGGTAAAAAAAAAGTCGAAATCTATTTTCCAGTGTTAGTCAACGCACCAGCACCACCACCATACCCATATCCTTTTGGTCCATAACTTCTGCCGTAACAACTTTTACAATATATTTCTCCAATACCACCATCCTCTAAAAAAATTAAACAAAAAAGTCATTCTCATGACGAACTATAAAAAAAATAAAATAAAAGTGATAGAGTGAAAAGGTGCTAAGCAAAGACCATAAAAGATATTCAGAGGATTCAAACCAGATTTTACGACAATAAATAATTGTAAATAGATTAGTCCAAGTCCAGACTAAGCACTCACATGTTTGGAGTTTTTGCAAACAAAAAAAATCCTAGCATGTGACGGGCCGAGGATGAAACAGCCTAACTTGAATTAGTCTCACAAAGGGCAAATAGGTCTGGATAATTTTGCAAAAGACAAGATTCAACAGTTGAAAAGTTACTAAAGACTATACGCACTTGTAAAGAACAGAATGAAACAATTTGCTGAATTTTAAAATATTTTTAGATTCCATCTTTTAATAATTTTAAAACTGCACTTACTAGGATTTTAAATTAAAAATCCTAAAAAATAAATTCAATTATAAAAACTATTGTTGGTTGTTATTTTTGTAAATCTTTGTTATTTTAGATCACTATATTTTATATAATCTTTATTTAACATTGTTTGAGTTTAATATGGTTATTAATCTCAAACAATGTTAAAAATTTAGTTAAATTTAATATCTATTTAATTCTAATTTATTTAAATATTTAGGCTAATATATAAATATATTTATATTTCATTTTAAAGAACAATTTTATCTTTAATGAGTTTTTATTTGATTGGTACAGTTATGGAAACAAAAATGACACCATCTTACTCTTATTTAGTAATAGGATATCTTGAAGGAGTAAAATTGCTTCATCACTTCATTAAAGTCATCACACACCGATATTAATTAAATAGAAGAAAAATCTAAATTTTCACATCACATTACTTTGTTTCTTACCCCACAACAAGGAAATCAAACTTCAACATTATTTAGTTTGACGCAATTACCCAGTAAAAATTGCTAATGGCACTTTCTTTGACTAGACTACAGAGACCAGCACCCCGGAAAAGAGAAAATAACAATATAATACATTTTGTAACTACAAATTTTGCAAACATTAATTTTGATGAACAGTTCACAAAGAATCATGAAGTAATCAGTTTAAGACAATTGAAATCAGTTTTTAAAAACACTTTTATTGTGTTATTACAGTGCTAAACAAAAAACACTTGGAGAAACATTTGTACATCAAATTTGAATAGGGAACCAGGCTTCATAAAGAATGAATGCAAGGTTTCAAAACAAACATCAAAACGTATTTAGTATGTACCTTCAGTATGTCAATCATTTCACCATATAAGTAAAAGTTTGGAAGATTAAAATTTCAAGTAATTATAAAAACCTTGTTTATTTGCTATCATGTAATAAATGTGATGAAAAAACAATATACTTTGACAAAACACCTTAAGATAAAAAAAACTAATTTAGATATCTATACACGATAAACAAGTATTGGTTCAGATAAATTTGATCAACATATTCACAAATGCTCAAAATGTTAAAAAACAAAACTTTTAAAGTTATTTCTTATGTTAAAATTAATGAGAACTTATTTCTCATATATAAAGCTACCTTGTAAAAACAGGAACATATGCCACATTCCTGTTTTATACAAACATACAAATAAAGAAAAATTATTTACTCATTATATTTATTATGTATGGTTGTAAAATATCTAATTGAAATATCTCATAATTTTTACTAGGTATAAGAAGCATTCTATTGTATATCAGTGCAACTGTAAATGGAACAAGAATTTTGTATGCATTGTGAATGAGTTTGAAAAGCTACTACGTGAAAAGAATTTATCTTTGTCTTAAAATTTAAAACAGAATAAATTTAAACAAATTTAAAAAAAAAAAAAAAATTTATAACACTTTTTCATATTTTTACTACTTTTTTTACTAATAATTTTATTATTATTATTATTATTATTATTGTACTTATAAACACTATTGTTGTTGCTGTTGTTCTTGCTTTATTCATAAACATTGCATTAAAAAAATTATTTTTATTGTTCTTACATAAACTAAAGTTTTTTTAAATTTTTTTTTGAAAAAGAAATTTTCATGTTTTCTTTTGTTTCTGCTAAAATTTTCTCTGATCTCGTTATACATCAACTAAAATGTTTTAAACATGATCTATATATATTTTAAAAATCTTTTAAACACTACATGTTATTATTAATATTAAATTTTTATTTTTTATTAATTATACAGTTAAATCCCATTAACTTGGACAAATTTTCAATTGCCCTTGAATTCTCTATACATACCAAAAGCTTTGCTTAACTCAGACATACGCGAAGTCAAACAAAATAAATATACCCATTCAGATTTGAAATTAACAGGATTCTACTGTACTATTACTATTATTGTCAGGCGTCTCTCTTTTGATAAGGTTTCTCAATCAATTATTTATATTTATTCTTAATAATGAGATTTCATTAGAATTTATTATTATTACTATTTCTAGTTTTCATTTCATTAGAATTTATTATTATTATTATTACTTTTACTATTATTACTATTTCTTTGCACACTTGTAAAGGAAAATAAATATCTTTTTGTTGTTGTTGTTTACTTTTTTAGGTTTTACACACGAATTAAGTTCTACCATGACTGTTATTATTTTTTTTCTTTCTGTTATATTAATCTAAATCACTCTCTTTAAAACTTTTTTTGGAAGTAGTAAATTTTATTCACAGCCAAATATTCAACATTAAAAGCCTACTATGTTGAGAAAAAATTTTTCTCAACATAGTAGGCTTTACAAATTTTTATTATCAAAAGATTGGTAAAAAGCTATTAGTGCAGAAATGTAAACACACCAGCTACAAGTGTAGAAATTAAAAAAAAATCTCTCTTATTTGTGTATTAATAAAAACAAGTAATGTAAGCTGAATGTAAGCTAAAAAAACAGGATGTAAGCTGCAAATATAAGCTGAAAAAATATGAAAGCTAGTTTTTATATATAGAATGTTTTATGACAAGTTTTGATGAATTATAATTAGAAACTTAAACCAAGAAACTATTACTTAGTTTTTAAAAAAACTGCATATTTTAAATTAACAATCAAAATTTTAACCCTGCTATACACTATATAATATGAACTTAGAGACTTTTTAGAAAAAAAACAAAAATTACCTGACTTTTTCTCTGCAACTGTATTTGAATCTAAAGATTTATTGCAATCCTTACAAGTAAAGCATCCACGTTTATGCCATGATCCTCCGGCTGCAATAATTTCTTCATTTGAATATACTGATTTACCACATCGACCACAATTTTTTCCGCCACCCCACTATATATATATATATATATATAATATATATATATATATATATATATATATATATATATATATATATATATATATATATATATATATATATATATATACATATATATTTACATATACATATCCAAGCTTTTTAAATAAAAAGAATTTCAAGTTTTTATAAAAACAAAAACTGCAAACACAAACATCTAAACAAACCTGAGGCATTTTTTCTTTTAGTTACCTAAAAAAAAGGATAGATAATTCTTATAACTTTAATTAAAAATAATAAGATATAAGAAATACCTATTGCACTTAATTATAACACAAACTATTTTTTTCAAATAATTGTTAGGATTGAAGTTAGTATTATTTAATTTTAAAAGTGCACACACACACACACACACATATATATTCAAAATTAAGACGGAATTAAGTTTAAACTCCCCCTCCACAATTTGAGGGGCTCACAAATTTAATAAGGTCATAACTTTTGAATGCTAAGAGATTACTACATGAAATTGAAAACTTAGCGATGAATATAAATTTTTTAAAGAATAGCACATAACTAGCACTTGGGGCAGTTGTGGCCTAAATTTTAGGGTTTTTTTGTTCCCAGGTTTCAATCATAACAATTTTTTGCAAAGCATCCTTCATTGACATAAGTAGAAATATATAAATGTTTGGAGTTTGTTCCATGTCTGGAAATTTAATATTTACAACATAAAAATCTGCTCTTGAAATAATTGTTGAAAATTTTAAACATTTTACAATAATTTACCAGCTCTCCCCCTGAAACTACCAAAAAGAATGCCTATAACACTTTGCCATAATTTTTAATATAACTTTTGAACTAATTAAATTACAATCAAAATGGTAACTCAAAGATATTTTCAACTCTATCACATCACAACAACATTACTTGTATTTTAAACTGTTTATACATAAAATAAATATAATTTCATTAATAATTATTATTTTAATTAATAAAATCTATATATGAAAAAATGATTAGGCATTTAATGGAGAAAGCCTTAAGTATAATAACCACCAACAAACAACTTAACTTTTTTTTTCACAAAATGAACTTTTTATTCTACAATAATTAAAATGATAAAATGGTTTGGAGTACAATGAGACAAATGTAAACAAATTTGTAAAATATGAGTTGTTCATTATACTTTACATAAAGTCCAGTAACATTTTATTTAAGTTTGCATTAGAAAAAATAATAATAATAAAAAAAACTGAGTTCCTTGGTCATGGGAAAATTAACGTTAATTTGTTAATACAAAATTGCATGATAAATTCTCAAATGTCATTCAATATTTATTAGCTAATATTTTAAAAAAAATTTTCAAAGCAATTCATCTTTTTTCCCCAAATAATGAGCTGCTGGAAGTTATAGGTTTCTTAAATGTAACATTTAAAAAATGACAAACTCCATATATAAAAATTAAAACCTTAATTCTAATATCTAAATAACAGTGCAGTTAATAGCTCTATTTAAATTCGCAACGGAAACTTATTGCTTATTGTAATTAAAAAACACTTTCACAGCAAAAAAAAATGTTTTAATAAAAAGAATTATGAGGAAAAGCTTACTTGAAAAAAGGCTCTGGCGTACGTCAGTCCCTTGCAAAATATTAAATAAAATACGACGTCTCTTAAAAAGTTAACTTCTGTGGTCTAATGTAATTAACGCCAAGCCCTAATTTACTATACTCCAACATTGAGGTAGTATTTTAAAATGTTTTAAATAAATTATTTTTTAAAAAAGCTCTCATATGGAAGCTTTATCACGTGATAAAGTTGTTATGCGCCTAAACTACTTGCAAAAATATTTTTATTGCAAAGGACGATGGTTTACATCAATCTTTAAAGAATGGAAAAATAATCATAATAATTGCAACGCATTATTATACTCAAGTTGATAACAATTTTTTTTATATATATTAGGATTATCTTTAAATAGGGGTTACTATATAAAATAAATAGCCAATAAAAAATAGTATATTTATATTTTTTTATAAAGTTATATTAAATACGATTGTCAGTTCTACTATTATTAGCTCTATTATAAGGAGAGAGCTGCAACATATATTGCAGAAATTCAACTAGTTTTTAGTCAGAATTCAATTTTGCAAATTTTGCAAATAAAATAACAAAGAGTAAAAAAATACAACTTGTTTTTTAAAAAGAGCTTTATTTTTAAAATTATCTACAAGTTTAGAAAAAAAGAGTCTATTTTCCAGTGTTGGTTAATGCGCCCGCTCCACCACCATATCCGTATCCAGTCGGTCCGTAATGTCTCCCGTAGCAGCTTTTACAATAAATTTCTCCTACACCTCCATCCTCTAAAACGTTAAACATATTATATATATACATATATATATATATATATATATATATATATATATATATATATATATATATATATATATATATATATATATATATATATATATATATATATATATATATATATATATATATATTAAATAAATAAAATAGTTACAAAATAATTCAATTTAAAAAGTTATAGTTACAAATATTTAAATGTTAAATGTGACCTGATTTCTTCTCTGCAACTGTATTTGAATCTAGCGATTTATTGCATTCTTTACAAGTAAAGCATCCACGTTTGTGCCATGATCCCCCGGCTGCAATTATTTCTTCATTTGAATAAACTGATTTTGAGCACCGACCACATTTGTTTCCTCCTCCAAAGGTCTATAAAAAAAGTTATTTTAATAACAATTTTTTTTTTGTATTGGGATTTATTTTAAATAATCACATACTTGTTTTAATAAAATTAATTACTCATAAAAAACGCGATTAAAATTACATTTCACTAACACGCCAAATATATCTTTAATTCTAATATAGTGATTATAAATTCATATGGGTGATGCATATATATATATATATATATATATATATATATATATATATATATATATATATATATATATATATATATATATATATATATATATATATATATATATATATATATATATATATATATATATACATATATATATATATATATATATATATATATATATATATATATATATATATATATATATATATATATATATATATATATATATATATAAACCTAAAAAAATAATCATACAGGCATCTTTTTACAACTTTTCCAAAAGCTTATGTATCTCCTTTAGCTTGATGTCTAAAATAAAGCGTTTCTCAACATTAATATAGAATGAACAAACAAGTTAGCAACAATACAAAAAAAGGCGTAATGTAAAAACTGAGTAGCAAATAAAAGAATTAAATACAGTTATCGTTTATGATATATTCGACCTGCCAAGTGTAGAAATACTAAGAGATATAAACAGTTGACAAAAAGTTTTTTTACGTCTAAAGGGTGTGCTTTAATAAAAGAGTCCTTTTAAGGGATTGAATTTATAATGTTATGAACGAGTAACAACAATAGCGTTTATAATCATTCATAACATTCATGTTGTTACAGTCTCTTACAGAAACATGTTTGTTAATGACGTTTCTATGGAATTTTATGAGTGTTTACTTGCGAATGTTTATTTGTTAATTTTATGTAACCCGACTATTAATAAAATATACTTGCACTATTTTTCAACTTACGAAATATAAATCTTTTATTTATTTGTTGTACACACATATACATATAAAAAACATATACATGTGTATAACATTTATATATATATATATATATATATATATATATATATATATATATATATATATATATATATATATATATATATATATATATATATATATATATATATATATATATATATATATATATATATATATATATATATATATATATATATATATATATATATATATATATATATATATATATATATATATATATGTATATATATATATATAAAATAAATAATTAGTGGCGGGATAGCTCAGATGGTTAGATCGTTAAAGGAAAAGTGAAAACCGGACTGTTAAACGAGTTCAAATCCCGCTACCGTCAACTCAGCGTTTGAGTAGTACGCTCAATAACGGACGCTACTTATGTATACAAATATATATATATATATATATATATATATATATATATATATATATATATATATATATATATATATATATATATATATATATATATATATATATATATATATATATATATATATATATATATATATATATGTATGTATATAAATCAAATTTTCGTCTCCTGAGATATTATATTTCTATATATACTTTTAAGATATTTTAAGAACTTCAGTTTCTGATGGTGGTGGTGGTAGTGGTGGTAGTATATATATATATATATATATATATATATATATATATATATATATATATATATATATATATATATATATATATATATATATATATATATATATATATATATATATATATATATATATATATATATATATACATATATATAGAGCAAGAGATCCAGGTTCGAAACGAGTTCTGGACATATTTTCGCGTCACGGTAAGAAAGGAGGAGTGAACTTCCTGATTAAATGTACTTCCGCGGTGCTCTGTGACAAAACCTTTAGGTGTTTTTAGGGCACCTAAATAACAAAAATAAGTTAAAATATATATATCTTCATAAAAACTTAAGATTTATATCTTTCTTTGTTTAAATTTCGGAAAATAAAATAGAAAAGAAAGATTTTTTTTTGCTTATAACAATTACTTAAATTAATAAAACTTTCTGAAATATTTTTTTAAACATTTTGTACAGTAAAATGTTTATGAAGGTTCTAGCTTTAATACTTGAATAAATAATTCAATAATTGCAAATCCATGGTTACATCTAAGTCCGTGCGTAAATTATGGTTAAATATATAATTAGATTAAATGTTTATAAATAATGTAAACAATATAAATTTAATTTTAATAGACGAATCAACTATTGGAATAATTATAGCTAAAAAAAGAATTATAATTATAATTATTCATTTCCTGTTTTTTTTTTTTTTCATCGCTACGTAATTTGAAATAAAGTTTTAATAATATAACCAAATTAAAAATACTCTTGTTAAATCCTCTGGATAATTATAACCATAAGCAAAAGTCCTGGTGGTTATATAAAAATATTAAAGCTCCTATAAACTTGTTATGTTGATGCTGAGTTTGATTGTTTCCAGCAGATATTACTAGTAAATATTCCGACAAGACGTAAAAGAAAATCTCAGTAGACGTAGAGTTATACCATGTGTATGTATTTTCCGATTCGTGAACATATAAATCTTAAGATTGTTGCAATTTATATTATATTCAAGAAGAGTATTTTTCTTATAACGCCAAATTTAATTTCCCGAAAATTTGAAGACATTGGTTTAATATGCTTTTTATCAAATGTTAAACATATTTATAATCATATTTAGTTATCATTTATAAATATTACTTTCAATTTTTCTCAAAATGCTATAATTATTTTATTTTTTGTTGTGAATCGGGTATTAGATTTATATAGTTTAGACTTGTTTAGACTACTTTAATGAACATGATATTCACCTAAGATTAAATATTTAATCAAAAATTCATCAACAGACGCTCCTAATTTTATTTTATTATATAAAGTTTTAAAATATTATTTATATATTTGTTTTTGATTTAAAAGTTATAGTCATTTTTTATATATCAACTTTTTTTTTTTTTTTTTCGGAGAGCAAAGTCTCTCCGAGTTATTACCGACATAAAAATAAAGCCAAGCAATGAGCAGCCATGGCGCAGTGGTTGCGCACTTGCCTCAGAAACAAATGATCCGAGGCTCAAAACCCCACCTCTGGACAAGTTTTGCGACATCGGTTAGGAAGAAAGCGAGAACTTCCAATTAAATGCTCATCCGCTGTGCTCTGTGATAAGACCTTAAGGACTTCTTGAGGCACCTATAAATAAAAAAAATAAAACCTTTTTGATGGTTTGACAATCTCTAAACAAAAACAACTACGTTAAAATTTACGTAAGGAAAAACTTTATAAAAAATTCTATTCGTTTTTCTGGTTTTTACTTATTTTCCGCATGATTGAAAATGTATTCAAAGTAGCAAGGTACGGCTACTTTGAATACATTTTAAGTATTAGACTACTAATAAAGCAGGTTCATCGATTAGATCATATTTGATAAATGTTGATAGCTGCTAAAAAGAAGATTTACGAGATTTTTATTTTAGTTTTATCTTGATGTTTTTTTTTTTTTTCTTATTCATATAATTTTATTTACTATAAGATAGATTGTGTATGCATATAATAAAAAAGAAGTAGTGGCCCTAGGTACAATAAGCTTTATTTTAAATATACTAAGGGCTACTAGCTATTGGATCTAGGGCCGTTGTCTGAAAATTAAGTTTAACTCTGATTGACATTAAAGATAAAAACATAAACTTGATTCAAAATTTGTATAACCTTAGATTGTTTTCAACCAATTTAATTTATGTTATTTGATTGCAATAAATTCAATAGACTTTTATGCCTACATGAATTATGCAGGACTTAAATGCTATTAATTATTTGAAGGTTGACTTAATGCTTATAGAAACATTGAAATTTTAGATAATTGCCTTCTTCAGTCCTTATTTAAGAAAGGTGGATCTGCAAAATATTGAAATGCTTTTTTTATGGTTTTTCTTTGGTAAATTATTGTTTTAATATATTATTTGAAATATATACTTAACTTTAGTCCGATTGTTTTTTTAAATTAAGATAAAATGTTTAATTATTATTATTTTTTTTGGGTTTAGATCTTTTTTTGGATTTTCATAATGCATATAGATTTTACTTGTATTAAAAAAATAAAAGCATTTTAGTTTTCGATTTAGTTTATTTTGAATTTAATGTTTTATAAAAATATATATATATATATATATATATATACTTTATATATATATATATATATATATATATATATATATATATATATATATATATATATAATATATATATATATATATATATATATATATATATATATATATATATATATATCTTATACTGCTGAGTTAGGTGAGCATGATGATGTCATACTCACCTAACGTCAAATAGCTTGCTGCCGGGGGCTTATATATATATATATATATATATATATATATATATATATATATATATATATATATATATATATATATATATATATATATATATATACTCACATCAATGTAATTATGTATTGTGATTATAGGGTAGCCTAGCAACAGCTTACTAAAAGTTAATGTTAAAAAAATATCTTTTAATCTTGAAAAAAAATTGAATACTAATATCAGTAAACATTTTAAGAAAGATCAACAGTTCATCTATCTGAAAAAGTTAAAATTTAAAAATTTCTACGCTCAAAATTTTTTTAAAAACAATTTGAAAACGATAAACAAAACACACTAAAATAGCTATTGCTGTAATTACATTTTATTCATTTTTAGAGGTTTTATATTTAATTTGAAATATTTTATCTTGTACTAGAAGCTACTTTTATTATTATTTCCTTTTAATAAACGGCTAAATGCATATTTTATTGCTAAAAATTAGAATAATAGCTCGTTGTCAATGAGAATTTTTTTTATATTCGTTATCCGTAGCCATTTTTAAAACTTTTAAAATATGCAAACTTTACTGCGCTTGCGTATAATAACTTTCCACTTATTTAGTAAGTCTGAACGACCGTGATGACCGTAGGTACAAGAAATGATAGCTCATGAAAAGTGTTATCTACAGTATTGGACAAAACATTTGCAACCAATGCTAAAAAGTGTTCCTAATTTTACATGTCTTAAAAACAAAACGAACTATACTATCACAGCAAACATTCCAGGAGTCTGGAGTCATAGCCTGCCATGACATGAGCAATCAGCTGACAGGTGACAGCACACAGGCAGAATTTCGTTGACAAGTGCTATTTTGCAGCGGACAAAATAAGTGCAACTTTTTTGGTTTGTTTCATTTTCTTAAGTCTGGTCCCTGATAACGTCACGGAAGTTTTTTAATAATTAAACTAAGTATCTAGAAGTTTCCAAAAGAAGCATCTCAAAACATCCAGAAGTATCCAGAAAAATTCAGAAGCATCCAAACGCATCGAGAAGCATCCAGAAGCATCGAAAAAGAAGCTTCTAGAATCTTCCAGAACAGGTTCACACAGGTTCATTTTACTATATAAGAGACATGTAAACCGACATGTATTTCAGTCAGTATATGGAAGTCAATCAATCAGTATTATCAAGACAGTTTATCAAAATGAGTTTTATCAAAGTGTTTTATCGAAGAACATCAATACAAGAAGTGAAATACAACAAGTGTTTTATTACATCAATACTGTCCACATCCAACCAAGACGTTGTGTTTCACAGAGCATTATTGTATCATCACAAGGAAAACATGTAACACGGTAAGCATTGAGAAGCGTGATTATTTATTTTTATTATTTTTATGACTTCAAGTACAAAAATGGCTCCCGACAGTATTGGATTGGAACTAATAAAAAAGAAAATTATTAGCGATTACGTAAGTGGAATGTCACAATAAAGTATTTTTTTTTTTTTTTTGATATATTTAATTGATATATTTAATTTTAGTTTTAGTTCTTATACAGTTTATTTAAAAGAAAATTTGGAAAGAGAGATCTTTATTAAAGATAAACTTGATTTGATTCATCATTATTGTTTGAAGCAAATTGAGAGGTCTTTTTACATCATTTTAAAAGCATTTGGAAAGCAAACGGCTCGCATAAAAGTTTTTTAATCTTAAATAAAATCATAATTTCAAAATAAACTGATATAAGATATAATAATAACAGTAAACTTAGTACCATTACAAATAAATATTTTTTTTATCAAATCAAATTTTTAATTTCTTTTAAATTTTAGATCATGTCTAGAGTTTATAAAAGAAAAATTGAAACTCCACATGTTTCAGAAAACATTTTTAAAGTTGCTGTAGCCTAAGTGGAAAATGGGATAAGCCTTTGAGAAGCAGCATATTCACTTGGCATTTCTAAGTCTGTACTTTATAGGTGTATAAAAATAAAAAGTGTCATTATCCAGTTGCTAATCGTCAACCAAGTTATCAATATTCTATGATTTTCTCTGTTGCACAAGAGCACTGAGCACTAATCTAAATATATGTTCTGATATGTTATATGACATTACACCAGTAAGAGCTTACTTGAACTTACACCAGTTCAAGTAAGAGCTCTAGCTTTTGAAATAGCTCAAGCGAACAAAATAAAATGCCCCTTGCGTTGGATAGAGCAAAAAAGGCTGGTCGAGATTGGTTAATAGGATTTTTAAAAAGAAACCCAAAACTATCTGTTAGAAAACCAGAGGCAACTTTAATTGTGAGAGCATTGGCATTTAATTGGTATACTATTGATATTTTCTTTATCAAATTACAAGAACGTATATCAGAGTCTAAAGCAACATCATTTAAAATTTTTAATCTTGATAAGACAGGTTTTACTACTGTGCAGAAAACTTTTTTTGTCATTGCATCAAATGGAACAAAGTACGTCGGGCAAATAACATCTAGAGAAAGAGGTGAATTAGTAACAGTGTGTTGCATTGTCTCTACAGCTGGTGTAACAATACCCCATGTTATTGTTTTTCCAAGAAAATCATTTAGAAACCCACAAATGAGAAGGCTACCAGAAGGTTTTATTGGATTAGCCAATCAATCTGGATGGATGAATGCTGAAATATTTATAGATGTTTTAAAGCACTCTGTTAAGTTTTCTCGTTTAACTGCCGCTCACAAAGTTTTAATGATTATAGATAATCATTAAAAACACCTTTAACTACAGTCAATGTTTTAAATGACTGTATTTAATTAATTCTTTTTTTATTACAAAATTTAGAGTCTGTAAGTTTTCTGACTTAATTACGAAAAATAATGTCTCTTAAATAGCCTCTATTTTCGTCTTCACAAAATCAAGCTCTTTTTAAGCTATTCTCCATGACATTTCTTAACATCTGAGGTTGTAGGGAAAAAAGTTCCTGTCATATGTTTGAGTTAGGTTCTTGAATAGTTTGGGGCTTATTTGCATACAGTTTGTCTTTAACATATCCCCAAAGCCGAAAGTCTGGTGCTAAAACAGGAGAACGTGGAGGTCATATAAAATTGGAGTTAAGAGAGATATCCAATTTTGAAACATTGCAGTTAACAACTGCATTGTGGTACTAACGATATGTGCAGTCGCTCCATCCTGTTGCTACCAATACCCTGCCATGTTTGTTAACTGAGGTTGAACAAAATTCGCTCGCATATCTCGATATTTCTCAGCAGTTACAGTCACAGCATTTTTATTTGCATCTTCAAAGAAGAAGGGCCCAATAACCTTTTCTAATGTTACTCCGCACCATGTTGTGATTCCACATTATGCTTTGTTTAACCGGATACAATTGACTCACATGAACTTGGCGTGGATTTTTGGTGCCCTAAAATCTGGTATTTTGCTTACTCACATCTCCATTCAAATGGAAATGAGCTAATTCTCCCGTGATCAACTTGTGAATAAACTCATTGTCATTTCTTGCAGTTATCTGAAACCTGACAGTATAATTTAGTCGTTTCTGAAAGTCTGGTAATTGTAAAGATTGCACTTATTGAATTTTTTTAGAGTACATGTGCAAGTCTCTTTGAATGCGCTACAGAGAACTCCGTGAGATGCCAAGTTTTTGAGAACGCTTTTGAGTGGATGTGGTTGGGTTCTATTCAATGCTAAGGCTCGCAGCTTCAGTATTTTCACGTGTACGTACTGAACGACCTCGTCCACTTCTAGTCCTATCACAGAGCCATTCTCTTGAAAACTAAGTTTATTATTGCAGGCCTACTAGGCAGATGTCGAACTTTAAAATGGCGCATATACGATCTTTACATTGCAACAATTGTCCGTCCATTTTCAAAGTAAAATTCAATTATCTTCACTCGTTGTTCTGTTGTAAACTTATCCAAAGATTATACTTTTTAATTCTGTAAAGAGAAATAGAAAAAAAATTGTTTAATTTTTAAAATAAAAAGTGACTTATGGGCCACCTTGTATAATATGTATTTTGCAGGCACCTTCTCGTAAGATTTCAAGACGTGGACATAAAAAAGGAAAGTGTGTGATAGCCACATCAACACTAGAGATTTTAAGAACAAAAGATGAAGTATTTAATAAAAAAAGGTAAAAAAATTGTCCTTTTAAATCGAAAAATGTTAGGAAAAACATATTACGTAAATCAAACATTGATCTTGATGTATATTTCAAAAAAATAACAAATTATGTTTCTGCTAATTGTTACTCACACGAGTTTGAATTTAAACATGTATGTAAAAAACTTTAAATAAAATTTGCCAAAAGTTGTTGCTGTTTATAAAAGTTCCTGTCAGAATCTAGGCCTTGCACTCGGGACCCAAAATGGATTTTGAGAGATTTGTTTGAAAAGTCGTGCACGAAATTCTAATTCCATTTTTGATTATTTAGTTAATTTTTTGGTAGAATTTAAAGTTTTTGCAAAAGATGGCTTTATCTATGAAAATATTGTCAAAACTAATACTGTTGTAATTAAATGTGATGCCCCAGCTAGAGGATTTGTTAAGTTTATTAAGAGAAAAAATGGTTATAACTGATGTGAGCGTTGTGCTCAGAAAGGAGATTGGAGTGGCAAGATAATACTCCCACATATTTCAAGGACTGATTCGAGTTTTTAAACTTGGTGTGGATTTTTGAATATCTTAGTGGTGTGTTAAACTGAATTAAATGTGTGTTTATTTGTGTGTTTAATTGAATTAAATCTTGACATAGTGATGAAATTTCCTTCAGACTTTATGCATCTTTATGCTTAGTTGCTAACTTATTTTGTGCAGTCATTTGGTGAACTTTATAGTAAAGATCAACTAAATTATGTTCATTCTTTAATACATATAGAAGATGATGCAGTTAAATTTAAAGTACTTGATAGATGTCTCTCATCTAAATATAATTTTGCCAATTAAAAAAGCTTGTTCAAAGACCACAGGGTTGCTTAAATAAACACGTACAAGGAGATAAACAGTTTAATATTCCTCATTTTCATGGGTCAGTAACCATTGCATTGAGACACTCTTTACAATTTAAAAATTATCAAGGTTTAAAGTATTTTGTTTCAGCTAATGAAGGTAATAGTTTCTTTGAAATTGCAAAAAAAAAAAAATTTTTAGTTAAAAATTTAGGGGTCCTGTTGCAAATGTAATTAGTTTTTTTTTAATTTACCAATACCTATAGGAAAAATTTTCAAGAATTTTTTTTTTTTACAAGGGGGGAGGTAAGTGTTGACTATTTATGTTTTCAAATTGAATTGCCAATGAAATTGCAGAACAATGAGTTGTTTCCCATGAAATTGCAGAACAATAGTTTATTTCTAACTTAGAGTCTTTTTTTTTGAGCGTACAGTTTGTGGTGCTAAAGCTATAGAAATAAGACTCAGTAGAGGTTGGCCTGCATTCTCTAAAAGACCAATAAAAAACACTGGTAATCTAAACTTGATAAACTTTTAGACATAGATTTTTGCAAATGCAGAATTGTTTACTGTAGAGAGAATGGTGTCCCTTAAAAAGAATCTTGTGATGACCGTGCTTATTGCCTTTGCAAATGTAACTTAAGTTTAAGAATTCCACAAAAAGAGTTTGTTTGGATTAAAACCCAGCGAGAAAAACAAGGAAACTTTTTAAAAAAACTGTCAAGCTTAGGTTCAAAGTCAATCGATCGAGAAAGGCTTAATTAACAACGAGAAGGAGCAATATTCATTGAGAACATTTTGTTCATCTACTATTAGATTTGACGCTAAAAATACGAATGTTGCAATAGAAATAAATAAAAATTACAACATAATGTTAATATGATCAGTGATAGCGATAAAGTCAGTGATTGCGAAGAAGACTCAAAATTAGAAACACAACAAAATTATCTTAAACGAAATTACCTTGATAATTTTAATACTGTTGTTACCTCTGTCAGATTTGGTGTGTCAATGACTGCTACTGCTGCTATTATTAATGGTCTTCTGAAAGATATTATGAAGGCAAGGAAACTTGAAGATAAAAATAATCTTATTTGTGATAGCATGATTTTTTTTGTGCCAAATAGCGTGCTATGAAGTGTTCTAATTTAGACTGTGAAAGAAATATGTTCACTGGATTTTTTGATGATGTTAGAAAAGATAAAACTTTAATCTTTGTGCATGAAAAGATCAAAGGCACTTTCAGAAAATAAATTAATCAAGAAAAGCATTAGACTGTGAAGAAGAAACTTAAAGATCGCTATCTTACTCATTATACACCAGAACCTAAATCTGAAATGTATAAACTAGCCAAACAATATGCTATTTGAATATTCAACTGGTTAATGGAAAGAGGTAAAGATCTTTTTCTTCAACTAATCGGTAGTAATACTACAAATTAAATGTCTGAATGGAAAGGCGGAATGCTTTATTTTGTAGAGGAACTTCTTCATCAAAACTTTTTTAGATCTTTTTGCTGGCTTCACATTTTGTAAAAACTTTGTAAAGCAAACGACACAGTTTAGTTGCAAGCAAATATTTTAATGCAATGTTAAACAGAAACCTTGATCCTAAAGTAACAGCTCTTAAATGTGGTAGATTGTCTTACAATCGATGGTTTACTTGTGGCATGAGAGGCTTCCTTCTATGTATGAACAAATATGATCTTAAATCTGAAAATGCATTAAATATGGCTCTCGTCATCTTTTAAAGCTACTTTAACTTTGGCAGAGGCAAAATGATAGGGTTAAAGAAGCTTTTAAATCTAAAAATCTAAAAAGATAGGTTTAAAAAAGAATCCTGGTGGTGTCATCCTGAGAATATACTTGTTTCACTTCTTTATTTTAATAACTCAGAAAGTTGCAGTTGACATATATGGTCATCAGGGCCGGAAGTGAACATGGCTCTACTGATTGAGATATTTTAAAGTTTCAAAAACAATAAACCTTGATGCTTTTTAAATTAAAGAACTTATTGACTGGAAAAAAGATATCATTACTGAACCAGTTTTCACAGTAAATTTTTCATTAGCATAACTCAATGCATTGAGAGTTTCTCTCCTGGAGCTTTATTTATATTCATTACATATCAAAAGTTGCGAGAGAACAGTTAAATTAGTTACCGAGGCAACTAAAAAAAATGGTTTTATACGCGAGATCGAGAAATAATGCCAGTAATGAATTCAAAAAATTGACTTTGTTTAAGAAACCAATGCTAATAAAAAAGTATATTATAAAATGTTTAAAACTTTTTCTCCCTTGTTTTCATGCAGAATGATTATTTATTTAATTTTTCATTATTTATTTAATTAGTACCAATTTTTTATTATTGATTTGATGTAATTTGATTATTACTGTATTTGTTACTTGGTTGTTTTATCTTTAAGCATGTTAAATTTATTAACCCATTTCCCGGTGCTAAACATTAACATTTAACAAAAAATTTTTCAAAATTGAATTCCCCATACCCAAATTCACAAGAATCCAAGCGTGCTAGTCAATATTTTGAAAATTTAAATTTAGACTGAAATATGACACGCCCTATTCAACACCCCATTCTGATGAAAGTTACAAAAATATACCAGAAAATAATCAGCATGGCCTTCACCTCTTTTGGATATTTCTCAATTAAGTGGACTGATATAATCATGTCCTTCATAATATATGCATCTGGTACTTCAAGGTGTGGTGAACATATACTAATTAAAGTATTTGTTGAAATCGATGATATAAGGAAGTATTTTCCATCAGAATTTCGCAGATAC